ATATATATATATATATATATATATATATATATATATATGTATCCATATAAATGTTATGAGTATTTTTATATCACTTTATTCTGTGCTTTGAAAGAAGGAAAAAAAGAAACAAAAACAAAAAAACATTGACCTCTCCAAATTGTTTTATGAACATGTTTGTAAATGTCTTCTTTGTTACTGGAGACAAGATTTTTTTTCTCTTTCAATGGGTGTTGTATGCTCCATGTTAAATTGCTATGTTATGGTCTGTGTCAACCTTTACCTCCTCCCATACGATCTAAGGTATCTCACTATGTCCACTTATAGATGTGCTTTGATAAACACCCCTTTATACTTACATTGTTTACATACTAGCCTGTTACCTGTAATTTATTTCAATGAGAAGTTTAATAAAAATAATAATATATAAATAGAAAATGATTTTTTGTAGTGCTTTCATTTCTGCTTAATTTTTATGATCATTGATATTATGAATCAAATAAATGCCAAAAATATAAATTGATTACAAATTAAATTATTTAGGAGTTTTTCATATCATTTTTGATAGCATGGATAGGATTTATTAAATAAATACAGTGACATTTTCGTTCCTTTTCATGATGACAATGACAAGTCATATAATTGTGGTAGGGAAAACCTGAAGTTGTATTATAATTGAATCGTACCTGAAGCTGTAATTGAATCGTACCTGTATTTCAGTGCGGATTGTACTCTTGTGTCTTAGTAGCTTTATTGCTTAGGATGAAATGATTAAAAAAAACAATTTGAACTTGGTATACCTTGTTGTTAGCTTTCTTTATTGTTACCCACTGACCTTTACCATGAGTTGAACATTCTCCCTACCCCCAAATTAATTAATGATGGCAATAGGAAAAATATTTGTTATTAAATATCCCACATTGTAACAATAGAAGATCTAGCAAGAAAGGTGAAATGTTGTAAGAACCTGGACATAAATTTTACTGCGAATGATCTAGCAATTAAAACTAAAGTGCATAGAAAAGGGCTTTAATTGCTTAGATCATCCACAGTAAAATTCTCATCCAGGTTCTTACAACGTTCTGCCTTTCTTGTCAGATCATCTATTATCATAATGATGTCCTAAAGGATGAAACGCATCACATGAAAAATTTTTTCCACTTTGTCATTTATTTATATGTTGCTAATTATTTTATAATAGAAATGTATTGAAAATAAGGAAGAAAGGGATTGTTAGTGGTCAGCAATCAAGGCTGACCTTTCTGGTAGAACTAGGCTAATTAATATATGTATAATGTAATTGTTTTATATAAAAAATTAATTGAAAATAATGGTCAAGAACTAAGGTCAATATTACTTATTTAAAAAAAAATGATGGCTGCAAGAAATTTAAAAAAAAAAAAAAAACATTTAAGAAAGTTTGTTTTTGGTTGTTTTTTCTGTGGCATTTTAAAATTCTTCAATGATAAAGTGAGCTTCATCAAGAAGAGGAAGCAACACAATTAGCTTTGATCTTGGTTTTGTTTGTCCTTGATATTATTATATCCTTATACCACAGAAAAGTTTTAAATTCTCTTTGATCTTTCTAGTCATCATGATATTAATTGAAAGATATAGCAGAAAAAATGACATGTGATGGCTATTTAGGTTGGAGGATTAAGATTAGACATAAATTCTACAAAAGATTCTATAGATATTAAATTTACTTTCATTAGGCATCACACAAAATTGTAAGGATAGGGAAACAATAGGAATAAGATGATTGTATAGCTCCAGTCTACTAAATTCAAAATGCTTGCTTTTTATTTGGGCTTAAATATTAACCACTGTCACCAGTTGGAAATATGCAACTATTTCAGTCATCAAAAAAGGTTCAAGCAACAAGTTCTTTATTCCAATGCAATTCTAAGAATCATAATTGTAATTTAATTGTAATGCTCCATACACAACAACTTGTTTTTATATTTGTAAAAGAGAGTTAAAATAATTTGGAATTCTAATACAAAACCATTTTAGTTGGAAGCAAAGGTAGAGCAGTGGATTGCAGCTCGGATTAAGGAACTGGAGAGACAAGTTTAAATTCTAGTCATATTTATTACATTCACTTACATGCTAATCACCTTGGGAAAGGTATGAATCCAACTCTTCTCCCCCCCCCCAGCTACGGGTAAATAGTAGAACAGACTGGGTTCTATAGCCTTGGGTGGTAACCATTCTAGGAGACGGAAAGCTCTGAATTCAAAACTGTATGAAGCCCTGGCGAAGCACATACTATACAGCTAAAGGATTCCCTTTATTACAGCATAAAATCTAAAAAAATTGATATTTACCTTTCCCCAAAATAAATAAATGCTTAAAGGCTCAAATATATTTCCAACCGTGCAAATGTTTCTGACTATATTTATGAGATGAGATATTATAACTATTTACACTATTGTTGTCCCTGTCTTTGTTGTCATACCCACAACGTTTCGGTTGTTGCATGCTCTGGCCTTCTTTAGGTGATATTTGTTGGAATTTTAAACCAAACCCTTTATTTCGTCTACAGGGGGTAGATTGTCCTAGTTCCACGTGCCATGCCTTTTCTGAATTTCTCAGTTTTTAGTTAATTCCCTTTAGTAACTCACCTCTCCATCTTTTTGTTCACCTGTGGCCAGGTATTGAACTCATGACTCTTTGGTTCAAGTCACTGGATTACTGCAACCAATACTTTCAACTAATGCTTTTTTTTATTTGAAATAAACCAGTGACTTGACCTAAAGAGATGTGAGTTCAATACCTGGCCGCAGCAGAGGTGAAGAAAGTTGTGAATATGACAATAAAGATGAGGACAGCAGTCTGAACAATGTAAATAGTTACAATATCTCAACTCAGAAATATACACAGATGTTGAAAGATAAAGATCCTATTCAAATAATTTGTTGCACTTCAAATAACATATCCAACATATCTGAGGGTATATAAGACCCTTCCCATTATTTTTTATTTTTTTTTTTTTCACCAAAAAAAATGACTCAACAAATATTTCCCTAATTTTACATGCATTGTTGTGGTACCTGGGAGGCTAATGTTTACCCAGACACCATAGATTATCAGTACGTGTGCCTAGCCTAACTCCATAATACTATTATATTAAATGTGAATATTTAATATCTAATATACCATTAAATATGATGTTTTTGAAAAGAGAAAAAGAGAGTAGCTGTTAAAAGTTTTATTAAAATTGCCATTCTTTTTCTGTCTTTATTTTTGTCAAAGTTCTAATTTTAGTGCTTTCTAATTATCTGAGAAAGTGCAAATGTGTCTATTCTGCTGCTGACAGTGAAGGACTGTAAATGACACAGACAGCAGCAAAGATTTACATTTCTTTAACTTTGTCAGCCATGTTGTTTTCACTAACCCATTGCTTTTTTTATTTTTTTTTTCTCGTGAATTTATCTTGAGGAAAAAATTTCCCACTAAATCTTGGCAATTCATGACTACAGAAAAAGGATCATTTTAATATCACTAACCCAGAGGGTCCATTTGAATATCATACTCAGCCTTAAAGCAATCTAAGGGGGAGAAATATATTATTTTAAACAAAGTTAAAATAGATATTATTCATACAATGGCATAAATCTTTAAATACATTATTGCCATATTTCTTTAGTTTCAAACATTCCCATTTGAATGTTTTGTGTATTGGATTCAATTCAGCATTTCATCACACTTGGTACCTTGCTTAACTTTATAGTTTCAAATACTGTTTTAATCAGTGACTTACTGGTCCTCCATAAGCAGAAAAAAGATAGGTTGGAACATTGTTATCGGGCATGAGTTGTTCCCCCTTAGTTTTGGCTATTGAAAATAGTTTTTTTTAAAGCTGTTTATAAGCGAAGATTTTAAAGTGATTCCAGAAAAAAGTATTTGCTATTTTAAATTGTGACTTATCTGTTTATAAATTAACATTTGATTAAAAACACCATTATCTGTAATTTTCAGTAATTTGATAAAAGATAATGCATTTCTTCTGAAAAATATTTTTCCTCTACCTTGTTGGTCTTGTCTGTATATCTCTGTTACTGTTTGCAATATGTTGAGTTGTCTGTGACTCAATACTAGTTGTGACAATGATAAGTACAACCTTGTAGAAAATTATGTTCTGAGCTTTATTGAAGGGTGTAGAATTGTTAATAAATTCAGTGAAGTCATTTGAAAGTAGAATAAGATTATATTTTTTTTTTTATAGAGGAATTTAATATACTTTAACATTTCCTAAGGAGAAATATGTTTCATAAAGCAGACGCATGTCACCTGGGTAGGCAGAGTTAACAATGCCTACCTTGACTAAAAATTATCACAGTTAATTAGAAAAGGTAAGATTTCCAAAATTTAATGTATAATTCAGTAAATGGTTATTATCTTCATCTTGAGCAAAATGTTTCCATGTCTTTTAACATCAGCATGTTACATTTCATAATTATTGTCTACATGCTGTGGACACTGCTCAAAGCCACATTTAATCACATAACTTTAAGACAGCAAAAGTTCTACCTTTGAGCCTGTATTTTTTTTTGTTTTAATTCTTTTTTATATAAGAACTTGAGTGAAAATTTTGTAAAATATTTTTTCCTAACCTTTAACAAAATACTACCACTATTTCTTTTAAAAATATTTTCTTATAGTGATAAGGCTTTTTTGTTTTTGTTTATTTTATAAGGGTCAGTCAACTGCCTACCTTGAGTAATTACTTCTAGCACATGCCTTATAAGTAGGTAATTAGATATGAACAAAAGTATTAATTATTATGAGATATAATTTAGAGATTGTATGTTTGTTCTTTTAATATGATAAGTTGAATGTTATAGTTTTAAGTAAAATTGCTTAATCTATATGTTCTACAAACACCTGACTTCCTCATGTGTTTTATTTAATTTCAGAATTACCTGGATAACATCCATTCCAAATATAGCCCTGCAGACCTGAGCTACTTTGAACTGAACCTGGAGACATGGCGCCAATTGTGGAGAGTATTGGAAATGTCAGATATAATTCTTCTCATCACAGACATAAGACATCCTGTGAGTAGAATTTTTTTTTGCCATTGAAAGTGAAAGCTTTCTATTAATTTTGTGGATTTTGGTTTTCTCTTGTAATAGACTGAGGAGTACAAAAAAAAAAAGAAAAAAAAAGTGTGTCTAGGATTCTGAAATAAATGCTACAGAATTCTTCTCCAAAATCACAAATTTCTAAAATCATAAAGAAGGCTAACCAAAGAACAAGTAATGATTAAGCATTGCTTTACAAATTTTACTTCCCACAAAAATAAAACACTTTACACTGCATTTATTCAACCAACACTTGAATATGGGGTTGTTATCCGGAGCACAAACCTCAAAAATGATATTGGTTTATTGCAATCTGCTCATGACAGGTGCCTCAGCCTAGCTACAGGTGAAATCAAGCTATCATTTCTTCAGTCAAGGTGCCAGTTCACCAATTTTATAAAAAATACTGAATGGCTATTATAAAGTGAAAAGTGAACAATTTCTTCACCTTCTAAAACAGGAGAATGCATGGTTACTCAGGCAAATTGAAGCAGCGGCACTCAAAAATAGTTATAAGATCCAACATTTTGCTCTGGTGATAGACAGCTGGCTATTTTCAAGAAGAAAACTAGGATTCTACTTAAATGAGCTGATGGACTAGTGATTAATGCTAAATGCATTACTTAAATTAGCCCCTGAAAATATCCTGATCACAGGTCCTGAAATAACATATATATATAGGATGTGCGAATAATGGTTAGCAGCATGGAACAAGAAACTAGCAAGCCAAGTTCTAATTCTGGTCGAGTTCGTTACTCTTTTACACTAATACCCTTGGGAAAAGTATGTGGTATTACCTCTCACATGCTTTGCTAGGTTTGCCTGTACACCATTAGGTGGCATTGTAGAACTGCTATAAAAATGCTACACTTTCTCTTTTTCTTTCAGCATGCAATAATACTAATAGCAGCATGTGATCTATTCTTGTTTGGGGAATATTTTTTCCCCTGAGTGACTGAACTTTCTCTCACACACACACACACACACACACACACACACACAAAATAGATAAATTTTAATGTCTTCTTTCTTTTCAGATATTTTTGCATGCATACAAATATATTTTATTTCTTGTTAATATTATCTTAGCCATATATTGCCTCTGTGGTACCTAGACTTTATAAATTTAACCTCAGTACTAGATTGGCATCTAGGTCTCAGCATTTTACAGCTGAAATGGCTAGATGAAACCATAAGTTCTATGCTAACAGTTTCTTGCACATCTCATTTGTGGAACTGTATTCTGGTTTCTTGCTTTCCAGTCAAGTTGGATCTTCAAAAATTTAAATATAATGTCAATTGCTATCTTCTGTCTTAATTCATTCCTGTTATTTTATTTTTCTTGTTCCTCACTCGGTAAACTCCTTCATCTTAGTGACTTTATTACCTTACTGGGGGTGAAATGATTAATATATATGTGTGTGTGTGTGTGTGTGGTTGCATGGATAGTAGTTTGTAACCCCAAGTTTTATGCTTTACCTGGTACTACAAACTACTATCCATGATACTGCATATGTTAGTGCTATCACAGATATTGAGCACTTTCCACTAAATACCGTGCATATATATATATATATATATATATATATATATATATATTTTTATTTTTTTTTTTTTAAACTCTTCAACCCAAGCAAGGCGGTAGTGCCACCAGCATGCAAAGGGTTACAGAAAGTGTGAGCAAGAGTAAAGAGGCATGAAAGAGGAAAGGATAAAGAGAAGGACGGGGGAATAGATCAAGGCATCTGGAGATGTTAATTGACATTGCATTTGAATAGCTGGAGATTATAGCTATCAGGGAAGCAAGTAAGAGGAAGGGAGTTCCACAGACGAAAAGTGCGAGACATGAAGGAGAAGAGATGGCTACATTTAACTGTTTCGACAATTGAAGGGTGGGACTGAGATGCTGACCTAGTGGCATGTTTAAATTCATGCAGTTTAGGAACTAGTGAAAACAGCTCATCGGAGCAGTTACCATGAAAGTATTTGTAGAAAAGACAGAGGGAGGTGACTGCACATCTGTGAGTGACTAACTGTAAACGAGATCCCAGATCAGGGCCAACCACATTGCATAATGTGTGTGTATATATATATATATATATATATATATATATATATATATATATATATAGTTGGATTGATGTGAGTTTGCACCCTGGGTTTCACGCTTTTGTGATTGTCAGAAAAACTGATTAATTTTTAAAAATTTTGGATTTATGTAGGGTTACATATATTGGTGTTTTTATGGAAGTGGGAGGAAAAATTGTTGTGACACCACTCATACTTATGCAAACATACATATATGCCTATACACTCATTGACGTATGCAGACACAAACACACACACACGCTCACCCACTGGAGCTCACATAAACATATATGAACAGTATGGGACTTGGCATATGTATGTATATATGTGGCGTTGTGTACATACGTATGCATTTGATTGCTGTATTCAATGATGGATTGTGTAGCTAATATTTTTTTTGATTGTAGTGATGTCAGTATGCTGACTGTTTCTCTGTTTTTGTTCGCTGAATAATATTTTCTCGCACGCACATATATACGTATGATGGGGTCTGTGTAAAACTATGATAGGTAAAAATTGCTATCATTTTTAATTTTTTAAGGCTGTTTTGTTATTATTTTAAAGCTGGTTATTTGCTTGTTTTTGGTGATTGCACATATGTAAATGGTAGAAATTCGAATTTGTAATACTTGTTAGTTTTTATGTGGTGGTATTAATTTTGCTGGGGAAGAGAGGAGTAATTTATGTTAATGGTGATTGCGGTACTAATACAGCAATAGTAATTGTGATGTGTTAGTAATGGTAGTGGGGGGGTTGATGATAATAACAATTGTAGTAGCAAATAGGTATTGTAAAGTGGTAGAAATGATTAGTAATGGTGGTGGAATGATAATAACAATAAATGTAATTATTATGATGGTAGCTTGAACTAGAGAATAATTGTTGGCATTATGGTATCAGTGGTTGCTCTTTTCATGTTTGTAGGGTCAATGGTGGTTTATGTGGTGGTGGTGGTTTTTTTTTTGTTTGTTTTTACAGCAATCAAATGCACATGGGATATATATATATGCCAAGTCCCATACTGTTCACATATGTTTATGCTTGTGTGAGCTCTGGTAGGCAAGCGTGTGTGTCTGCATACGTCAATGGGTTTACGGGCATGTATGTATGTTTGTGTAAGTATGAGTGGCATAACAACGACAATTTCTCTTCCCACTTCCATAAAAACACCAATATACGCAGCCCTACATAAATCCAAAATTTAAAAAAATTAATCCATTTGTCTGACGATCACAAATAGTGTGAAACCCTGGGTCACAAACTCCCTTCAATCTAACTAAATATGTTAGCTCTATCACTGATATTGAGCACTTTCCAATAAGTACTGCATATATATAATATATAAATAATATATATAATAAATTGCATATATATATATTTATATACATGCGTGTGTGTGTGTATATATATATATATATATATATATATATATATATATAAACACATGAAAATACCACCATGTTGAAATTCATTCCATTTCCTTTCACTTCTACTAATAATGGTGACCTATTATTGGTGTAATTTTTGTTTGCCACTGGTTTTAATCCAACTAAAAACTCATACCATAACATATGGTGACTGCCAATGGGATCTGAACATGCACGTAGGGCAACAGAAATGAACTCATCTCCTCTTCTGGCCCAGCTGTGGGTTAAATAATCGGAAAAACTTGCCATAGTTGGCAATCAGTTTTGGATAATGAATTCAAAACTCAGCCACCTGAAGCTATACAAAAATGCTTACACATATGGTGCAGATACAATATCTATAAAACAAAAGCACAATAAATTTCAACAGCTTGTAATAATCCCACTGGAGAACAATTATTGAAAATGCTGTTGTCATTAGTGGGCATTAGACCCCAGGAAGTTATAATATATACAGGGTGCGATGGATAAATTGTCATCTAAATTATGCAAAAATGAAACTATCACTGACATCTCATTTCAACAGATATATTTAACAAAACTACACAAAAATATCTTGAAATACGAAAGAGTAAATTTATTCAATAAAACCACCATTGGCTTCAACCAAGGCCTTGAGACGACTTCAGAATCTCTGGCAGCTCTTCTTAAGTCATCTTGTTTAAGATGGTAAATGCTGCCATAATCCTTGTCTTCATTTCACCTTTGGTATTACAAGGAGCTTTGTTGGTTTCTCGCTCAACTGCACCTCACACATGATAATCAAGGGAGTTGCTGTGTAGGGAGTTAGGTGGCCAGATGGAAGAGGTGATGTGGTCGCAGAAATTGTCTGACAATCATAACTAGGTTTTCCTGCTTGTGTGACATGGTGCAGAGTCTTGTTGCCAGACATATGGACTTTCAGCAGCTACCCTCTTGACTCAGGGCAGCACTACCTCCTCAAGGCACTTGATGTAGGCCTCTGTGTTGAGTCTGAGGCCCTCACCAATAAATTTGGGAGTTCTTTTCTTATCAGAACAATCAGAGTTCATTTTCTGAGCTGCTGTACCTTTGTAATCACTATTATACTCATTTCCAAATCCTCTGCACTGTCCTCAGATTGGCATCCAAACACTCTGAAATATTCGTATTGGAGCTACTGCATTGAATGTCAAGTAGTGCAGCATGCTGTTTCCAAATTTCTGGCAGAGTGAATTGCATCATGGTGCTCTTTTTCTCCCAGACGGCGCCCAACTGACCCTACTATACTGTGCAGTTGACAAAATCAAAAGCAAACATCTCGTATCTGCAAAATTAAAAATATAAAATGGTGACAATTTGCCACCGTGTGTGTGTGTGTGAGATATATATATATATATATATATATACATACTTTATTTACAATTGGAATTAAGATACCTTTAGTTAATGACCATTTTCACCTACAAATTTTAATTTTAAAATTTGCAGGAATTTTCA